GATCTTCCTTATTCATTATCCAACATTCACATGCATATATAATGATTGAAAATACCATGGCTTAGACTATCTTACTCTTCAAAGTAACATATTTGCTCTTTAATGCTTTAAAGAGATCTTTTGCAGCCCATTTGCCTAATGCAATATGTCATTTGATTTCTTGTCTTCTGCTTTCATGAATGTTGATTTCGAATCCAAGGAAAATGAAGTCTTCAACAAATTCAACGTTTTCTCTGTTTATCATGATGTTATTTGTTGGTCCATTTGTGAGGATTTTCTATTTCTTTACATTGACGTGCAATCAGAACTGAATGTTGTGGACTTGGGTGTTCATCAATATGTATTTTAAGTCCTTTAGTAAGCAAGGTAGTATCATCTGTATATCACAGGTTGTTGATGAATCTTCCTCTACACCTGATGCCATAGTCCCCATCATATAATTCCATTTCTCAGATTATTTCCTCATCATACAGTTTGAATAGGTATTAATAAATTACCTATGAGTTTAAACTGACCCAGTGCACACAACCACCACCATTCCTTAGTGTTTGTGTTGTTGTTTTTAAATAGTCCATATCAAAGGAATTTGGATAAGCACTAGATAACAAAAAGTTTATCAGTTCAAACTACCCACCTCTCATTGGAAACCATGTACAGGGACATTATGAATAGGAAATGACATGAAGGCACTTAATAACAGCAACACTTGGATAAAGCAAAGTATATTTGACTGCTTCTTAAAAAGAACAACCAGTTGCCCTTGATTATGACTCATGGTGATACCATGTGTGTCAAAGTAGAACTGTGTTCCATGGGGTTTTGAATTATTGTCTCTTCTAAGGATAATCTGGCCTTTCTTCCAAGGTACTTCTTGGTGCATGCCTAACTTTTGATTAACAGTCAAGTGCATTACTCATTTGACCACCCTAGGAATGCAAGTGCTTCTGAATATCCTTATTGAATTTTTTTTTCTGAAAAAGATCCTTTTTTTATGTTTCCCTCATGGTCCTACACCTTCAACAGAGTCAGTTCCTTCTCATGTTGTGCTTAGATGCCCTGGAGTAAACAGAACAAAACACCGATGCATCCTGTGCTCTCCTCACAATATAATTATATTTGAACCCATTGTTACTGTCACTATGTCAATAAGTCTCACTGGGGATCTTCCTATTTTTCAGTGACCTTTCACTTTACCAAACATAGTGCCCTTCTCCAGGTATGGTGCTGTAGGAAAAGCACTGAACTTCTAACTGCAAGGTCAGCAGTTCAAACACACCAGCTATTCTTTGGAAAACCTATACAAGGTCACTATGAGGAGAAAATGACTTGACAACACTTAGCAACAACATAACAACAATGTCCTTTACTAAGGACTGGTCCTTCTGATACAAGCCCGAAGTATGAGAGATAAAGTTTAGCTGTCCCCACTTCTAAGGAACATTCTGGTTGCACTTATTTGAAGATAGATTGTTTTCTGGCAGTCCATGGTATTTTAATACTCTTCTCAACACCATAATTAAAATGAATCAATTCTTCCACAGTCTTCCTTATTCATTGTTCAACTTTAATATGCATATGTTGTTGTTGTTAAGTGCTATCAAGTCAGTTCTGACCCATAGTGATCCTGTATAGGGTGTCTGAGGAGCAGTAGGTGAGCTTGAATCACCAAGCTTGCAGTTCAAACATCTTTACAGTGTGGTGCATTAACCCACAATACCACACCTGTACTCCACATGCATATGAAGTAATTGAAAATACCATGACTTGGGTAAGGCACACCTTAATCTTCAAACTGACGTATTTGGCCTTTAACACTTTAAAGAGGTCTTTAGCTGCAGATTTGTCTAATACAATGCATCATTTGATTTCTTGACTACTGCTTGCCTGAAAGTTATTCAGTATCCAAGTAAAATGAATTATCTGACAATGTCAAACTTTTCTCCATTTTTCATGATGCTATTTATTGCTCTAGTGCTGATTTTGTTTGTTTTCTTTACATTGAGGTGCACTCCACATTCAAGGATATGGTCTTCAATTCTCATCAGGATTTTCAGTCCTCTTTGCTTTTATCAGGCAAGTTTGTATCATCTGCATATCACCGATTAATAATGAGTGTTCCTCCAATCCTGATGTCACATTCTTCTTCAGATGATTCAATTTCTCAGATTATTTCTTAAGCATACAGGTTGCTTAAGTATGGTGAAAGGATAAAACTTGAGTGGCCACCTTCCCGGTTTAAGACCATCCAGTATTCACTTATTCTGTTCTAATGGCTGCATCTTGTTCTATGTATAGGAACCGCATGTGAACAATTAAGCATTCTGGAAAATCCATTCATGTTGCTAGCCATAGTTTGTTATGATCTATACAGACAAAAGTCTTTGCATAGACAATGAAACAAGTAAACATCTTTCTGGTATTTTCTACTTTCATGCATGATCCTTCCAATGCCAGCAATAATATCTCTAGTTCAACATCCTATTCTAAATCTGGCTTTAATATATGGCAGTTCACTGCTGATGTACTGATGCAAACCTTTTTTTTTTTTTGTTAATAACTAATGAAAAATTTTACTATCATGTACTATTTATATTATTCAATGAGTTTTACAATCCATCGGATGAGTTTTCTTGGGAACAAGATCAAAAATAGATCTCTTCCAAACATTTGGCAAGGTAACTGGCTTCCAAATTTCTTATCATAGATAGGTGGGTACCCCTAAAGTATCAGTAGACCTCTTCTATAGATTTTTCATCTTAAAATCACCATGACGTCCTAATATTCTTTAACTATTGTCTATAAAGTTAGCTACAGAAATAGAAAAATAGCACAAAAAAGTAGAGTTCTCCAAGTACAGTTGTTGTGTTTCCTAAAAATCAAAATATATGGCTGAAATTACTATAGTATTAGATACTAAAGTGTGAACACTTGCCAATTTGCATGTGTAACTTATGATTTTTTATTTTTTTTTCATTTAAATACATACACAATGCTGGGTACTTGCTCACTTGTTTCCTTTGAGTACCCACCCCCTTCTTTTCCCCCCAAAATCAATCTCCGGCACATGGAGTCACACAATCTAACAGGCTTCTCACAATTCTTCCTTCTGGGTCTTTCAGAGGATCCAGAACTGCAACCCCTACTCTTTGAACTGTTTCTGTCCATATACCTGATTACAGTGTGTGGGAACCTGCTTATCATCCTGGCTGTCAGCTCTGATCACCATCTCCACAGCACCATGTACTTCTTCCTCTCCAACCTGTCCTTGGCTGACATTGGTTTCATCTCCACCACAGTCCCAAAAATGCTGGTCAACATCCACACACAGAATAAATCCATAGCCTACAAGGGCTGTGTGATACAAGCATCTTTTACTTATTTCTTTGCAGGTCTTGACAGTTTGTTCCTTACTGTGATGGCTTATGATCGGCTAGTGGCCATCTGTCAACCCCTTCACTACACAATTATTATGAACCCCCGACTCTGTGGCTTGCTAGTTTTGGTATCTTTTCTTATCAGCCTTCTGGACTCCCTGCTGCACATGTCAATGGTGTCACAACTTACCTTCTGCACAGATGTGGAAGTCCCTAGTTTCTTCTGTGACCCTCCAAAACTCCTCAACCTTGCCTGTTCTGACACTTCCACCTATACTATACTAATGTATTTTATTGGTGTTATCTTTGGTGGTGTTCCAGTCTCTGGGATCCTTTATTCTTACATTCGAATTATTTCCTCCATTCTGAGAATCTCATCTTCAGGTGGGAGATATAAAGCTTTTTCTACCTGTGGCTCTCACCTGTCAGTTGTTTGTTTATTTTTTGGAACAGCACTTGGGGTGTACCTTAGTTCATCTGTGTCATCTTCTCCCAGAAAGGGTGCAATAGCCTCAGTGATGTACACTGTGGTTACTCCCATGTTGAACCCCTTCATCTACAGCTTGAGGAACAGGGACATAAAGAGAGCCCTGAGGAGGCTCCTCGGCAGAACAACCTAATCTCAATAGTTGTGCCATATTCACCGACATATGTGTTGAAAAAGATGGCAAGAGCTAATATTTGATATCAGAAGTCTTACATGTTTAGTTTTAGAATTCTTGTACCTCTCAAAGGTTCAATGTTGAGTTTTCATACATGGACACCATTTTCTTTATCACAACTTTAACATGATACTGGGAGTATTCTGGGGTGTGTCAATTTTCAGGATCAAATCGTATGTTATTTTCTGTAGCTTCTCATCTTTGACCCAGATTTATTGTTAAAATGCACAACTATGTTTCTATGTATTGGTGTGATGCTGTGGGTTCATGCACTGGAATGAAAAATGAGTTTGAATTGGAAGGTCGGTGGTTCTAGCTCACCAGCTGTTCCTGGAAACACTATACAGGGTCACTGTGGTTCAAATTAGACTCAATGGCACCTAACAACAACAATAATTTCTTTTTTTTTATTTAATGTTTTATTGTGAATTATGTGACAGTCCACATGGGAGAACATCAGCCTTACTTTCATCCCACCATACATCGCCTCATTGCCATGGCCACAATCCACCCCCATGCACCACCAACCAACCAAAGGGTATACCCAGCAAGCCCACCCCCTAGTCGTCAGCACATAGTCCCTCTGCCTCTCTGGGTCTAGAGTCCCCAGCCACTCCATCTCTCCACATCTGTCTCCATCTCTGGCATCACTGCTTCTCTGGGTAGCGTCCTGCTCTCCGCTCTTCTACCTTGATGGTCCCAGGGACCTCCACTCCTAGACTGCAAAGTTAATTACTCCCTACTTTTGCTACAAAATCTCTGTCAATACATTTCCAACCCTCACAATCAGTACTGATAACAAGTATTCACTATTGTATTACAAGAGACCTATTGCATCTCCTTTCATCAGCCCTGCCCAGAGAGATTGAATACTACTCAGTGGAGATTCTACCTTCCTCCACACCTTGTGTATCTAGGTTCCCTCTTTTTATTTTTATTTTCTTTAATATTTTATTGCGAATTATGTGATAGTTTACATGGGAGAACATTAGTGTTCTACTCATTGGAGATTCTACCTTCCTCCACTCCCTCTGAATCTAGATTCCTTCTTGAAAACTTGTAAGCCACTCATTTCTTGCCTTTGAAGCCCCCACCCCCACCCCATTTTGGGTAGCCAATATCCAAGTTGCCCATCCCTGTCTACTCAGTGTATGGAGGAGGTGGGAATGATGCTCACTGTAAGGATTTGTTCCTCTTTTGAGCTACTGCATCAATAGGTGTTGGTCAAGTTCATCAAATTGTATTAGATAACTCTTATTTCCCTCTTCTTTCTTGTTCTAGTTGAGCTCTGATCATCCAGTCATTGAAGCCAGGTCAAGTGGGTATTATCTGTAAGTGTGGGTGTTCTTGTGCATATGCCCTCTCTTCTTATCAGCTGGATACTTCATTCTCCACTCTAGTCCTCTGAGGCTATGTCGCTGACTCTGGGCCCAAGAGTCCCCAGGTCTTGAAACACTGCTGGCAAACCAGGTTTCCACCCAGGTTCACAGGAGTCTATTAAATGTTGTAGGGCTTAGCGTGCAGCTTCACTGCTGTTTTCCCCTCACTTCCCCTTATTGGTGATGAAGGTGGTCACCATTCAGAGCGTGTATTCCCTTTGAGTCTTAGTTTTGGAAGGGGGTTTGCTCTGAGGGGACCTGTCTATGTACTTTTAATCTTCATTCTGTATGTTTATTAATATATACTATCCAGAGTACTTTTGCATTGGAACAGGACTATATATATGAAGGTTATGTGTGAAAATGCATGTCACTAGCTTTAAATCTTGACTTTATATTGGAATCACCTAGGAAGCTTAAATATATTAATGCTTGGATTCAACTCTACAGATTATGGTTTACACAGCTTATGACTTGATCACAAGAGTGTCAAAGCACTACAGGTGATCTTAATTTGCATACAAGATGAAAACTCATTTTTTAAGAATTTTCTTTCAATGAAAACTAGTTTTTCCTGGATCTTTTACTCCTCTTGATCAGATGCTGAACTTCTCAAAGTGAGCTAATCTCACAAGGGGAAAATTCTCCCTCTGTAGCTCATGAATTAGCTCCATGAAACAAGATGACTCCATTCAAAACAGATACTTTCCAGTCCTGCACCATCCCCATAATCAGCTGTGGATCAGACTATTGTGATCCATAGGGTGGTCACTGGATTATTTTTAGAAGTAGATTTCTAGGATTTTTAACCTAGTTTATCTTTGTCTGGAATCTCAGATGGAACCTGTTCAAAATTCTGACAACATGCAAACCTCTACTGATAGGAGATGGCTGTACATTAGACATATTGGTTGAGAATCAAATCTGTCTTCAAAATAGAAGGTGAAGATTTTACCAATGAGCCTCTGCCCTGAACACCATGAAGTTGTCCATACGTGTTTATTCATAATTTACCCTCTCCCTTTTCCAAATTCTCTCTTTAATACATTGTGATGTTGGGAACAGAGAGGGGAGGATCTTTAAACCAATGGTTTGAATTCCCATTTGGTTTTCTTGTTAA